TATGTACAAAGAACACATTTTTCTGAAATTGGCTCCCCATCAAGCACACACCTACACAAAAGCTATGTCAATTGTGTGTGCTTTGTTTGTGCTGCAAAAGTTTCATTTGTGCTGCTTTAGTTTTGGAGATATTAACGATTCTTTTGTAGATCAAATTGGGGTCAGTCAGCGCCCAGGAAGCTTCAAAATGCTCTAAACCAGGGGTGCTCACACTTTTTCAGCATGCGAGCTACTTACAAAATGACCAAGTCAAAATGATCTACCTAATACAAAGCCAAGCAAACTGCACTGAAACACTCTGTGGCCCTTTTTTGGACCCTCACCCACAGTTTGAGAACCTCTTCTTTAAGAGAACTTCCTCTGGCACTTTACACAAAACTGTGAAAAAAGTGAAGGAAGATTTTTAAACCTGTTTTTTAAAGTTCCAAACTGGAGTTACATTCTTTTCTGGTTTTGCAGTGATATTTACCAGCCTCTGCACGTTTACCAAACCAAACGCACATCGTGACAAACACAGATGCATTTGTGCACTTTTGTTAGACAAACTTCAGCCAAATGTGGCAGTAGGTCTGTTCTGTAGATCTGCTCTATGCTGTAGACCTGCTTTGTGCCAACAAAATGTAACACAAATTTAGACTCGTTTTTGCTTCACGTTTGGTCTTGTTCTCTTCTAATCAGCCGCACTGTGGGAGGGGCTTGTGTTCGCTGTACGCAGGAAGGAGCGAGAGCGTGAAAAGGCGAGGGGCGGCGTGCTGACGTGAGGCAGATGGACAGGTAGGATGTTTAGGAAGTTGAACCTGCCCTGTGACGCACGCTGGTACACGAGGGCACACGCTGTTGCAGACGAGCCGTGCATAGGGAGCGTGTGTGTGTTTGTGATGTGTCGTATAGAGTCTCCGCGGGTTTCAAATGAGCGCACAAGCTGCACTGAGACGCCCCACACGCTCCTGCACCCCGGCAATCTACCCACACGACCTTGGCAATCGACTGGTAGATCGCGCGATCGACGTATGGAGCACCCCTGCTCTAAAACAACACAAAATGGAGTCAGTCATTTGTGCTGCTTTTGTGCTGCAAAAAGTTACTACAGCTACAGCTTCATGACATCACAAGGTGGAACAGAGCATTTTGAGCTTTGGAGATGTAGACTGACTAATAAATAAATGATTACTCAAAATTGTGTGAATGAAACAAAACAGGAGGTAACAACATTAGAACATGAAGCAGTTGTGTTTAATATAGGACCTTTAAGGAACCTGCGTGAAGTTGGCCCCGCATCAACACAAAACCCAAAACTTTGTCAGTCGTTTGTGCTTCATTTGTGCCATTTTGTGCTGCAAAAAGTTCCGTTTGTGCTGTTTTAGTTTTGTAGATATTAATGTTTCTTTCGTAGGTCAAATTGGTACGGTGGCGACAGGGCCAACGCACTGCAAACAAAAAACGTGGTGCAAATGGAAAAAACGCGCTGCAAGAAACAAAAACAAATGCATCATCATTAAATGCGCTGCAAATGGAGAAACGATGCAAAGCACAAAACGACGCATACCAAGAAAACACCTGCAAAAGAAAAACGCTGCATAAAAAGTCACCACAACGGAAGTGCTCCAAACCTGCAGGGGGCGCTCTCAGTGTAACAGCTCAATGGAGAGACACACCGGCTGGAGAGAGACAGGTACTCCTTATGAGAGAGACGGAAAACGACTATAAATTACAGCGGGAACAAATTATTGTTACGGTAATGTGGCTTTTATTTTATTATATTCATGTATTGTGTTTATAAATAATATAAATATCGCTGTACAACGCGGTACTTCACGTGCCGGTTATTTTATTGTATTTCACACCAGACTTTACAAGGCGATACATTAGCATGTCGATTAGCTTGTTTGCTAATAGCGATCAAATAAGAATAAGATAAGATAAAAAGATTAGAGATTGATACAAAACACCTGTTTTAATAGTACAGTCTTCTATACTTAAACCCTTTCCTTTTCTTTCCCCTTGCAGATGTACTGTCCATTTTGTGGATCTGCGCTTACAGCTTCACCTGCCTTTTGCCGTGCGTGTGGCAAAAACGTCACTTTTTTAAAACGCGTCCAGGAGGAGACGCCTGCAACTCACGCACATATTGATGTTGCACAACCTTCCACCAGTCAAGGTAAACAGATTCATGATTTTGTGACAAAAATTATCAGAAGGGAGCCTGAGAGGTTCAGATCTTGTTCTTGTATATACAAAAAACACTTTTCTCTTCACTACCCTGGATTAGTAACTGGCATTAGAGGTATATTGAAATGCCCTGCAGAAAGTAATTTTATATGAACATAACTATGAACTCAGTAAGAGCATTGAATCAGTATGTAATTCCTATGTGTTTTTTTTTTAGCAGGAAGCATAGAAACATTTCTGAGGTTTAGGGCAGTTAAAGACAGGGAGAGAAAGTCATTCTTTTCAAAGAAACGTCAGGCCTCTCAGAGTGAAAAGCAACAGAAACCAGTGAAGGTATGATATGTTGTTTACATAGGGTGTTGCATAGGCTGTTCAGATTTGGCTGTCAGTGCAGATCTACACCTTGTTAAGTGACATATCATATTGATTTGTCATGTTGTATTTCTGTTTTATTTACTGTCATTTGTTATTTTGCAGATTTATGTTGGAGTTATGAGGTTGACAGGTGACTCCTTAAAACCTGTAAGAGGGAAATCACTGCCTCTGGACATTCAGCCTCACTGGTCATCAGAGCAGCTATTGGCTGCTGCTGTTAAAAAACACATGGATTTTAACCAGGACATGCAAGATGTTGTCCATGTTTTGTTGTACCCTGATGGCAGACAAGTGAGAAACATCCCAGGAACAAATGACCCTTTCACTGTTCAGAAGTACAAGGAGGCAATTGGGAAGGCCTACCAGAGGATAACACTCTACATTTGCACTGCAGAGGATTTTGAAACCAGTTGTAAGTGTTCCATTTTGTATTAATTCATGGTTTCCTATTGGTATCTTATCTGTGCAGGATAAAGTCTGCAAATTATTCAGAACATTATAGTCATTTTTGTTTAAATGCCTTTTTTGAAGGCTATACTGGACAGTCTTCTAGTGAAGATGACAGTGTTGTCCATGTGAACCTGCCATCTGTGGAAAGTGAACTCTCTGACACTGTGGTGAGTGTATATATGTAAAAGACATAGCAAATTTGCCTATTGCCAGGTACATTACCATTTAACTATCAGTTAAGTTATAAAATTACATTTAATCTAATGTGTTATATCTGTATATTTATATTATGTGCTGCACGCAGGTCTGGGACACTCCAGATAATGTGAGCACCCCAAAAACAGACAACATTTTGCAGGGGTAAAAATTGCCTTAGTCAAGTGATGTTTTTCTTCATAAACAATTAGGAAGATTAATTATTTATTTGTTATTCACAGACCCTCCAGATGCCAACAACCAGAATCTCATCAAGTAAGATTATATCCAATAGTATTGATTGTCTAACATAAAATTGTGAAATAGCAGTAAATAATTTTGGAAATTAATTTAGTCATCCTAAGTCCTTTGTATCTATCCTTTTATGGCTTGCATTAGTTCTAAGCAGGTAACAGTGCTAAATGATTAACTTAAAAAATGTATTATTTTTAAATAGGATGGACAGCAATCAACTCCCCAGGATCAGTTAAGATCTTCACAGAATCTGAATACCTGGTATAGGTAAGCTGGTGGACAGTTACAACCTTAACATTTTTGGTTAGTGTGTGTATGTGTTAAATGAAGAACATAATACATTAGCGTATGCCCTGCAATTCCTTCACATTTTTTATACTTCTATGCTTTCTTTCTTGGAATATCCAACTATTTATTGACATTCATTTTTACTGCTATATATTGCAACATTACAAAAAACTTACTAAAGACCAGTCAATCTACATTTCTCAACCAGCTACCCCAATTCACACACCCAAAGTCAAAATAACATTAGAACTCCAACAAATATTTTTAAATTTTCTGGGAAGTGTAAGAAATGTACTATGTATATATAGGTATTGTTGACTGACTGGAATCAATGAACTTTTTCCCTGCAGCAACTACACCACCATGTATGCACCTATAGTAGTTGACAGTGAGTCTGAGACAGATGACCACATAGACTACCCTGCAGAACAGTATGATATATTACTAGTTAGTACCTCATTGTTATTGTTGGCTCATATATTGGAACTCATGTACTGATATTCTCTTGCAGTCCGCAGGTTTTGAACCTGACTGCTGAAGACATTGTTTCAGACCTGGCCTCCAAGATTACCAACACTTCATACAGCAGGTTCAACATAAACAGGGCAAATATATGGGATGGAGCAATCAGAGGCTTCAAGCGACCATCTTATGACCCATCACATGAAATTTTGGTTAAATTCACTGATGATGAGGGGCGAGCAGAGGATGCAGTGGACACTGGTGGTCCCAAACGAGAGTTCCTCACCCTGCTGATGGACTGCCTTAGATCAAGGAGAATATTTGATGGTCCAGACGATAGGAAATTTCTCACGTTTGACTGTGCAGGTAAACATCTTATTGTTTCAGACTTAAATTACAGGTACATTGCATTTCTGAAAATTCATACTGAAAATTCAACATCTGGTTTTAGCTCTACACTTGGGTTCAGTGAAATTAACTTTGGTATGCATTTTCATGTGAACTCAAAAATGATTTTAATAGTGGACTAATGGATGGTAAAATGTTAACAGCTGCCAGAGATGATGAGTATTTTCATGTTGGGAGGATGATCGCTACATCCATAGTCCATGGTGGTCCAGGCCCTCGATTCTTGTCAGAAATGCTATACGACCACCTCACGGGAAAATCAACAGCTGATTTTGAGGCAAGGATTGAGGACATCACCGATGACACCATGAGAGCTTCCTTGCTTGAGGTTTGTGGTCAAATCAAGAAAGCTCACAAATTTGACTAATTGATCCCCTGAATTCCATTTTTAAAACCGGTTTTAAAACTCGGTTCTCAGGTATTGTTCCATCTTTTTAAAAACATGGAATAGTGAATACTTGTAATCTAACAACCCAACCATTTGTAGTAAAAGCCAGTTTGCACCATCTCAGAACATTATCTGAATTAAGCCCCTCCTTCCTATTTTATGACATAGACCAGGATTTTCAAATTGGGTAAATGTGAGCCTCCTCCTCCTCCTTAGAGTAGGTAAAGACAGGTAGTATCACTGAACATCAGTAGCCTGACACCAGTCCTGGTTCAGTGCTAGCTTAGTCCTAGTTTAGTCCTCCTGATTCAGTCCTGGGTTCAGTCCTGATTTAGTTTGTGTGTGTCGCGTCTCTCCAGTGGCTCTTTGGCACCTCCCAGGGGAGGCAGGTCTCACCTATTGAAAACTGCTGGCATAGACAATATAAAATTGTGTGATTTCTTTCCATCTTTATCTTTCAGTATGGGAAGTTAGTGGCATTTCACTTAAATGTATGGTTATTGTCTTGCAGATATCCAGTGCAGCAACACTGGTTGAACTGCATGCAGTGATCGACAAACATTCAAGTCTGTTGCAGATGGCTGGTTGTCTTCAGTATCCAAAAGTTGTATTGGACAAGAAGATAATAATGAAAGACTTCATGCAGTGGTACTTCATTTACCGCAACCATTTCTCAATTCAAAGGTTGTTGTTTTTTTTGCATATTCATTGATTAAATGAATTTAATTAGTTATAAGTTGTAAAGTCTTATGTTAATTATTAACTGCCAAGTAATTAGTATGCTTAAAGGAATAGTTAAACATTTTGGCACCGATAAAAGGTAATGTACGTATCTCTATGTTTATAGGGATTATGGCAGTAGTCCAATTTGTTGAACTATCCCTTCTGATACTGCTATTGTTCTAAACATTTGTGTTTTTTGCTCTGTTGATGTTTTGTAGGTTCAAGGATGGGCTTTCAACACTTAACATGATTCATGCTTTGGAGCAGCATGCATCTATATTCAAGACATTTATGTGCTCAAGTGTGGAGCAGCTGACATCCACAATACTGGAAAATCTTTTTGAGGTTCAACTCAGTGAACAAGGCACCACAAGACGCCAAGAAGAAACCAAAGTATTAGCATTCTGGAGAGACTATCTCCTTGATACAGAAGGTTTATTATGTTTCTCTCATCTTGTATGAATAACAACTTTAATAAAACACATTTTAAGAACATGATCAATAATGCTTTTTTTTTTCCTCCCAAGATAAACAAACAGGACTCTCCCTCCCTGACATCCTGATGTTCGCCACAGGACTCTGTTCTCTGCCCCCATCTGGGATTAAGCCAAGACCAAAGTTGGTGTTTCAAAGGGTGTCTCGCTTCCCATGCAGCAGAACCTGTGCAAACACCATGGAAATTCCATTGTCAACAACTTATGAAGAGTTTCAAAAGGACATGGACTTTGGAATACAAAACTCTCCTGGTTTTGGACTGTACTAATTTTTTTATTGTATAACTGATAGGTTGACCTTTAGTGTCTGAAGTTCAACAGTTATTACCTGTATTAGTGATGTTACAACTCAGCCATGTTCTTCAATCTAATATAAAGTTCCACACAGGTCTCCCAGGTCATTGGCTGCATTAGACCACTCTGTCTTTGTAGATCCTCAAAGTGTGACTGGAGATGACGATCTCCACATGAACTGTGTGTTGCCTCAATCTGAAATGGCCCCAGTTCCTCCAGTGAAACCGGAAACCCACAGTCAGTTCCACCAAACCTGGGAGTAAAAATATGTTACGTGTAGCTTGGACTCAACTAGCTGAGCGCAAGACTGTTACCATATGCAATACTATTAAGTGCAAGGGTTTTTCACATCTTTTCTTAATGTACTTCACTTCACACCTGTTGCTCTTTGTTATTATATTGTGATGTGTGGGTTACTGTATCCAAGTAATTTCCCTTGTGGATCAGTAAAGTTTGTCTAGGTCTATTGTTACATTTTATCCAGTTATTTCAATTAAGGTAATAAATAAATACATAAATGAATAACCTGTGAGGTAGGCTGTACATGACCTCTGGTTTCCCAGATGGACAACGAGACTGTTTAGCAGGTCTTATTGTATGAGTGTTCCACTTTTTTCTGCATTCATCAAGGTCATGTTGTAGCATATCCATAAATGCAAATCGCAGGAGGCATGTGTGCTCATGACTGCTGTTAAAGAGATTTCGCTCTCTCAAATCATTCATAAGGTCCATCCAAAATTGAGACCTGAAAACACAAGCTGGAATTAGGGCAATGCATTTCAGGGAATGTTTTTGGATTCTAATGCAATTGAAAATGTTTTAATTTGTTGTTCAAAAAAAGCAAGAAACTTTCAAGGACCACAATGGTCTATTTTCTATGTGTTTTAAAGACTATTTTAGAAATGTGCTTCTAGCATGTAAAACACTTAAAGAAATCCATAATAACACCTTTGTTTGCGAAAATAAGACCACCAGCTTTCAATTCTTTGGTTTGCCATTGAAGAGCCATACAAATGACTAGCAGCCCCAGCATAGTCGTCAGTGTGAGATGATCTTAAGGCACACTGAATTGCTGCCATTGTGCCATTTTCAGTGCCACAGTCAGTACGAAGTCGCATTGGAATGATTCCATATTCTGTCAGGCAGTTCATGTAATTCTGGGCAATGACCACTGGGTCATTGTTGCTTGCTCCACATTTCAACCACAGCACCTTTCGCGAGTATCCATCTATGCAGCCACTGATTCCAAAACCGTATGGTTTCAACTTATCGTATCCATCCACATGCCACACATGGTTCGGTCCATCAGAAGTGTAAACTCGCTTAACAAATCTTCTGCTTGCACGATGTTGAATTCCTTGTGGATCCAGTTCTCTCATCAGGGCCATAACATCATCCCTCCTAACTGTCAGCGAGTATTTTAGGCGCAATGTCTGCCACATTGAACGGTAGCCATAGTGTTGCCCTGGACCCTTTAACTCCTCCTGTATGGCCCCACAAACACTGGCAAGAGTAGAGTAGTTCTTTTGTCTGAACAAAGACAGCATATTCAGCTTCCTCTTCAAGGAGCGAAGGCTCATGTGCACATTGTGTTTAGAAGCTAAAAAATCCAAAATCTCCGCATTGCTGTAGCTCTCATTAAAATATCTTCTTATTAGGTCATCTGTGAGGACATCTGATGCTGACCCTATAAACATAAAGTGGGATAAAGGCAGACATTTTATTAGAATTATCACAAGCCAAATATACATGAATGCATTTTACATGAAAAAGTGGCATTAACATCATTGATCATATCAATGTTATTTAAAAACTGGATATGAGTCCACTTACCGTCTGCATATTCTGCTAAAAAATGCACACTGGAGCCACATGAGCCACAGGACATTGGTACATCGGTAGTTCCCAGATCGTGTCCGCAGTAAGGACAAAACATATTGGCCTGGAAAAAGACGATAGATCAGTATAAACTAGAAAACTGAAATCAGAAACGTGATAAGTAACGTCACTGATATGGGTATTTATACACTACCTCTTAATATACACAAACAGCGGAGATCATAAGTGTATAAGTTAACTGCTGGCATAATAAGCATAATACTTAATGTGCAGCGTTGTATCGTATGGAAGACTGCGATAAGATGGCTTTTAAATGTACTATTAAAACGGGTGTTTTGTATCAATCTCTAATCTTTTTATCTTATCTTATTCTTATTTGATCGCTATTAGCAAACAAGCTAATCGACATGCTAATGTATCGCCTTGTAAAGTCTGGTGTGAAATACAATAAAATAACCGGCACGTGAAGTACCGTACGCGTTGTACAGCGATATTTTATATTATTTATAAACACAATACATGAATATAATAAAATAAAAGCCACATTACCGTAACAATAATTTGTTCCCGCTGTAATTTATAGTCGTTTTCCGTCTCTCTCATAAGGAGTACCTGTCTCTCTCCAGCCGGTGTGTCTCTCCATTGAGCTGTTACACTGAGAGCGCCCCCTGCAGGTTTGGAGCACTTCCGTTGTGGTGACTTTTTATGCAGCGTTTTTCTTTTGCAGGTGTTTTCTTGGTATGCGTCGTTTTGTGCTTTGCATCGTTTCTCCATTTGCAGCGCATTTAATGATGATGCATTTGTTTTTGTTTCTTGCAGCGCGTTTTTTCCATTTGCACCACGTTTTTTGTTTGCAGTGCGTTTGGCCCCTGTCGGCCACCTACAAACACCAAAAAGAATTCAAAAATCTTTAAGGTGAAATTTTAATTTTTCTGTTTTTCCTCGTCAAACAGAGGTGGCATGTTAAGTACAGGGAAATTTCTAGAATCAACACAAAGCCAAACTCTTATTTATCTCAGGTGAAAGAAGTTACCGTATTTTCTGCACTATTAGGCGCTCTGGATTATAAGGCACACTGTCATTAAATGGTCTATTTTCAAACTTTTTTCACAAATAAACCACACCGGACTTTAAACGAAACACAACAGTTCGATGGGTGAGTGGGAGTTTGTTTGGTGCGTTCACGGTGACTCTGGGCTTTGTTCAGTTGTGGCGTGTAGGGAGGGTGCTGTCTGGGATCGCTGGATTGTTGGGGTGTTCGCAGTGACTCAGTTGTTCAGTTGTGGCTACAAATGGCACATTGCACTCGCTTTTTCGGTTCGTTCCTCATCCGCTCGGAGTGAGGAGTGTGGACAGCCGACCAACAGTCACGACAATCCAACATGGCGAGGACCCGTGCGTGCCAGACTTTGAAACAGAGTGTACATTTGTGCTCGGATCACGCCATTTCCCTTTCCCCCAGACACAGCAGGACATGTCACTGACCGGCGGTGCCAGTTGGGGGCGGGGCTGAGAGGGACTCCTCATGTACCACTCGTAGACGCCAGTGACTGTGCTTGTCATGTATATAGTATAGTATAAGTATATTTATTTTATTTTTAACAGCTGGATATATAGTTTATTTTGGATACATTTATGTTTTTCTATGCCTCATTTCATGTTCAAAGTATATTTGATTAGTTTTATGTTTTATACATCACAAAAATGCTTTAAGGTACATATTTGTAGCCTATATTTATTTTCAATTTGAAAGTTTTGCATAAATTATCAATAACAGTGTTTTTTGTTTGTTTTTTTTTGTTTGGTTGTTTTGTTTGTTTGTTCATGAGTAACTAATGAATAATGCTGAATGAAATGATTTTCATGCATCCCTAACTACTCATTGTCCAACCTGAAAATTCAAGTGTTCAAATTCAAATTCAAAAGTTGATCCTAAAGAGGCCGTTACAGACAGGACTTTTGATCCAAAAGTAGAATTTTTAACAAATATGCTCTAAAATGGCAAAATCAGGCCAGGGACAGAGATACATTTCTATTTTAGACCCATTTACACAGATAATCAGGAGAAAAAAGTAATTTTGGTGTTGAGTGGCTCTTTAAGGTCACACACACAGGGTTAAGAAAGTAGTGTATCAATTAAAAATATAAAAAATATATATATTGTTTGCTATGATGAAAGAAACAGGAAGTCAGCATCCCTGCTCCTATTCATACTTTGCAGCTGATATCATCAACATTCCTTCGGGAAGGGGGGCTAACTAGAGGCACTGAGCTGTCTGAAAGTCTGTTACTCAGATTTTGAGTTTTGTTTTAACACAACTTGACCATAAAGGATTGATTTAGCTGGAACTGCAAGGTGAGCTGATTGGTTTTCAGCAGAGTGAGAGTGACTAACTGAAAAACCAAACACCTAAAGAGGACCATGAATACTTGTAATGATCACAGACTATCTAAAAATGTGCTGTTTAAATAAGTGTTGTATTATATCTTGACTTTTAAAATCTGTTAACAGACATCTGTAGACCTGATGTTTGTTAACAGGCACATGCAGTTTGATAATCCAACACCAGATCGACATGTATCAGTTCATTAATGAATTTCTGATTAACAGAGGTATTTGAGAGTCAAACTAAAGATTTTTTTTCAAATAAAATCTTCAATATTTTTCTTCAGATTTTCCTCATTAGCTCATTAGCTGAGACTGTTGTGAGTCATCTGATTTGACCTTTTACTTCTGTCCTTGTGTAACTGTGTGACCTCTCAGTTCAGTCCAATTACAGGCTATAACAGGCTGTAATTTATCTAATGCATTCTAAACATCCTTATTATCCGTCGCGATGAATGTATAAGTACTTCATAACTTTCCAGGTGTCCGTGCTAATAGTGCACTTCCTGATTATAATCTAATAAAGCACTTTCTAACAGCACACAGCAGACTTGTTTTGACCTTAAGAGCTGCTTAGACTCCGGTTTTATACAAGACATGTCCCAGGTGTCCCTATTTCAGACCAATTTGAAACCTGCCGACAGTAAATAGGGGCATAAATTGTAATTTGTTTAGCCAAAATGCTGGAAAACATGCTTGAAAATGACCAGAACACAAAAAAGTCAGAAGAACTCAGAAGTCTCTTAAAATATTATTTCCTGACTCATAAGTGAGTTGTGACCGAGGTGTGATTAAGTCGTGAATGGACCAGT